CGCGACTCTTCTTACTAGTCCCATTTTCTCGTATTTCTATCTCCACTTTTACTTAATGTGCGCAGGTATAAACAATGTATGTATATTCTGAACTTGAATTTTAGGTAATCATCGTTTATGTTTTTGTGCTTGTATAGTGTTGTGTTCCGGAATTAAAACGTATTGTATGTCAGAAACGTCGCAAAAATCGTGTTTATTTGTTATTTCCTAGGTTCGATAACAATTTGAGAGCTTTACCCTAGCTTTATGACCCAAGTTTTCGTTTGTTTATCAATAACATATATATGTATATATTACGCAGTACTATAAGGTACACTTAATGAAAAATAAATTTTATGTACATATGTGTTGTGCATTTTAATGGGTGATCAAGCAAATAACTCGCAATAACGAAAACAATAGGATGTATGTGTTTTTTATTTAAAAATTATCATTTGCTGCGTGATTTATTCCGCTCTTTTCGCAAAAATTTTGTTCATGCCTTCGGTATTGTTTGGCTTCTACAGCATAAATCATCGATTTTATAAAGGTCATACACTTTACCATGATAATATGTTATATAGTTTGCAAATTTGTTTTTTTTATCGAAAACTTCTGATTTTGCTTATACATATTTTACATTATCTCTATATAAAACATGCAGGTCAAATGTTAAAGTACTTTTGAAATTATTGCACTATTCGAGCATCTATGATGTAATGTGATAAGTGAAAGAATTTTAGAATTTTCGCAAACTGAGATAATGATGAAACAAGTGATGACATTGGCAAATTGAAATTAATTGGAAAACTCTGATTAATATCTTTTTATATAAGTATATTCAGGGTAACACGTTTTGCATAAGCAAAAAATGCCGTCACCAGTTCATAAAGGATCTAAGTTCACCACAAGCTAAACCCTTTGAGAAAAAAATATTTACAAACAGGTTCAATAGAGAAATTGAGCGGATCAAGTCAGTCAAACAGGCCTATACAATTGGTTGAATTGATAAATTGAACAACGAAAACTACGAGAGTTGAGCCATGGAAAGATGAAGCTAATCTACTAGAAACGGGGAAGCAATAAAAAATGCAACTAAATCGAAGCTCGAATTTACTCTCAGAAATTCCCTAATCGTCGCCAGAAAATGCGAAATGAACCAGAAGAAAATGCCAATAACTTTATAGTCAGTGAAGGAAAAGAAATAGACGCGTTGGCATATGTAGAAGAACATTTTACAGCGTCAATTCGGCAAATTGTTTTAGAATGTAACATCAGTTATTCATATGTTTGGAGAATTCTTCACAAATATAATTATCGATCATTCAAATGCCAATTACACCAACATCTTTACGTAGACGACCACAACCGTAGATTAACTTATTGGAACTGATTTCTGACTAAATACAAAGATGTACGTTTTCCGTTTAAAATTATTTATTCAGTCGAAAGTCGGTGTACCAATTTGGGTATGTTCAATCGGAATAATAAAAGATACTGGTCGCAAACTTGCGTATAATTCAAGAAGGAGATTTTCAAGAGCGTTTGGGTTTCTATTGCTGAATGGGTATTATCGGACAAAAGCTTTTGGGGCCAATAATTTTCGATGGACAACTTACCGCGGAAAGATATCTACAGCTCGTAAATAATGAAATAAATGGTTTCATTTACGATTTGCCTCTGGCTAACCAAGTTGATATCTATTTTTAACAAGACGGGGCTCCACCTTACAATTCTCATGCGGTAAGAGAACATCTGAATGACACCTTCCCAGAAAAGTGGATTGGCACTAATGGACCTATTCAATTACTTAGGTACATCCTTAGGTTGTCATATTTTTTTAGAACGTCTAATTTATTTTTCATATTTTAGATCACCAGATCTTAATCAGCTAGATTTTGTCTTTGGAGGACAATTAAAAATCAGGTGGATAAAACTACAGTTAATCAATGCGGTGCAAGCAACAATTGATAAAGTTGAACTTGGCCGTGACCAAGGAGGGGGACATTTAAATACTTAGAACTTTAATTGCACATTTCATAGAATATGTATTAAAAAAGCCGACGAGCTACCCCCTTTCTATTTGAAAAAATTAAGTGTTTATAACTTTTAGAAAACCCTTAAAACGACTATAAGGTCGCTGGCATTCTAGATCGAAAAATAAAAATTGACTTTATTTGTCAAATATTGACAAGTGACGCATTGTTGAGTTTAGAATGTTATTCTTGATCGAAGTAAGCAAAAATATATAGGGTGTTCCGTTTACAAATCGAAAGTTGGAGTGGTTCCCGGTGAAACCGGAAGTACATCAAAGCAAGTGAATACGCCAACAAATGATAATTCATCTATAATACGCAATCCCCACATTTCGTTTTTCTATCTTCAATAATAAAAAAGTTGTAGGGGTGGGCCACCTTGTATGTACAAATGCAAGCCCCCTCGTATACTGGACTGCTGCGCCATAGCAATGTGTCGGGAACAATCTCTGTAAAGAGCAACCCGGAAAAAATTTGTTCCGCAAGAAAGTTCACTTTTTTCCGTCTTACGGGGAGAAAATCTAAGCTTTAAGGGCTAATGTATGACAAAATCTATGAGTGTGAAATATTCCTAATTGGTGCGTAGAATTACCGGGGCTGGAAGTGTGTTGATACACTAACATCAAGAAATTGCGACACACCCTCCCACAAACACCCATCCCCCAATTTTTTACCACTAAAAAAATTATCAAAAATGATCAGTATCCTCTGAAACGAAACTGTATGCGATTTTTATTTTTTCATTTTTGATATTTTTATACCACGCCACTGGGCCGATTTTCAAAAACTGCAAAACATAGTAGTAAAATTCAGCTGATATTTCCCAATTCATAGCGGGGTCAATGATTAGCGGACAGATAGACAGACACACCGACAGAAATGAGTGAAATTTTCGCGATTACAATACTTCCTCGCCCAGTGGCGTATGAAGTAAAGAGTAGGTTGCTCCAAGAGACTGCTAGTTTCAAAAAGTTTGTCAATATGTATTTGTTGAGCTCCAATCGATGTGACTAAAATTGGGTTTGAAACAGTCGGTCTCAGCATGATCATTATCCTAAATCAGCATACTAAAACTATTCTAAAAATTGTGCCAACATTACCACGGCTCGTTTGACGCAAGCCATAGATCCATATATAATTTTCTCTGAACTTATTATTAGGAAGGGTGATTTTCCATGCTATATATAGTGGTTTTATGGATATTAAGGTCGTTGTATCGATTATTTTAGTGATATAGTCTTGTTAATGCACACTTAAGGCATACTAGAGTTAAGTGCTGTAATAATCGAGTAAAGTCTATCCACAATCAAAAAATGAGATAAGAGGTTGAAAACAAATACATTTTGATGTAAGTATCGATAATAAAATGTCAAAGTACGATTTAATTATTCCAAGGCTGCCTATTGGAAGTAAACAAGGGAAAATACTTCGGTTTGATATCATTTTCCGAATCTCCAATTATGAGTGAGAATGCAGATGAAAACAACAGCTCAAGGTTACATAGTTAGCAACTTTTTTCTTTTATAAACAATTGTAAAATATTTTAGTGTATATTGCCAGTTCAAAAAACAAAAATTGCGATACATCTAAAGCCAACATTTTATTTCTACAATATATCAGTGTGTATCTTCGTGTTATTTTCTATTATTGCGGTATATACATATATACAATAAGTACCACGACAAACTTAAGGAGAAGGTAGGATTTGGACTGATCTCCCAAATAACAAAAACATACCAATATAACAGTGTCACCGTTTTTGAGATATTGAATTTTTTCTAAAATTTTAAGAAAACGAACTTTTTCATCTGTGGTCTTTAGCTGCATGTACCAATAAGGTTATACTTTGTTCATTTTTTCTATAAAATACTTCTAGATAGTTGCTTTATCATATTTAATGTAGTTAAAATACATTAAGGAACCATGACCAAATAAGGACTATTTTGGGATTTATAACCTTCTGATATTTTTTCCTCAACTTTGACCATCTGTGGTGAAACAAAAATGTACTGGGCTATAACTGCATTATATTGCTAAATAGTACAAAGCTACATTATTATTACCCGCTCCTGATATGATTTTATGAAAGTTGAGGAAATAATATCAAAAAGTTATAAATCCCAAAGCAGTCCTTATTTTATCATGGTTCCTTAATATCTTTTAACTACATTGCATTTGTATATGATAAAGCAACTATCTAGAAGTATCTTATAGAAAAAATAAACAAAGTATAACCTTATTTGTACAGGCAGCTAAGGACCAAAGATTAAAGGTTCGTTTTTTCAAAATTTAGGAAAAAATTCAATATCTCAAAAACGGTGACACTTTTATATAGGTAAGTTTTTGTTATTTAGGAGGTCAGTCCAAAGTCTACCATCGTCTTAAGTTTGTCGTGGTACTCATTGGATTTATTTTTCATATATTTTTAACAATAGATGAATAACACCCATTTGCCGGCTATATACTGTATACAACTAAATTAAAAATAACTAATTTTTTGTTGCTTTGTTTTAACATTTAACCTTTGTAACAGTCATTACGTAGTGCTAATTTTAAACTAAATTTGTTGCTATATACAAACGTGTTAGGTACCGTGTACTCTCCTTTTATCGCGTTACAATTTTTTTGTATATTTCAGCGGATTCTTTTAAAGACAATAAATATAGGCTGCTTCAATGAGTAAATTACGTCTAAATCGAATCTATAAAATTAAAGCTTTGTAACATATGATAGGAGACATAAGCAAAGTATTGCGTGACATTTTTGGTAGGATTTAGGATTGAACATGACACAATTATTTAATTTCATCGTATTTTAAATAGTCATTTTTTACATCGACGAATACACTACTAGATCGATGAAAAAATAAACATTCTGTCATATTCTGGGCAGTTATCCAAGCGAAATTATTCCTTACTGTATTTTCGTTCACTTGATTTGGGTTGAAAACATTTTTTTTTAAATAAAAAAAACGTTCTGTTACAGGTGTGCGAATATTTAGGCATTTCCAATGAGTCCGACTACTTTGGTTTGAAATACCAAAACAACAAAGGTGAAGAGCTATGGTTGAACCTGAGGAACCCCATAGACAGACAAGTGCACTGCCATGGACCTGGAAATCCCCTCCGTTTTGCTTTGAGGGTGAAATTTTGGGTGCCACCACATCTTTTGCTCCAAGAAACAACCAGGTAAAATATCATATCTTCTTCTGATGAATAAACAAAACTATAAACCTAATCTGATTCGTTTATCCTACTTTTATATTATGTTTTTTTGAATGTTATATGACATGTACATGATGAAAAACTATGTCACTCATTTTCGTCGGTTTGTCTATCTATCTGTCGGACTGTCTATTCGTCTGTCCGCCAATTTTATAACCGCCTGTAACTTGCGAGGTATCGCTAGGGTTTTGATGAAAAAGCTTTGTAGTTTTTGAAAATTGGTCTAGTGATGGCGAAACAAGGGGCAAAAACTTTCTGTTCTATAACTATTGTTGTGTTTTGTTGAATCATCATATATATACACAGTAATGGACAAAAGTATATAGACAAATATGAATATTTACCTGAATACCTTTAGAAAACGAATTCATACTTCATTGCTCCATGAACAAATGCGTTATTAGTAGAAAAACTAAATTCCTTGTTTTTACATTATCTGCAATGAACACAATACAAGTCTGAATATAAGCACTTTTTTATGAGGGAGAAACATATGTAGACAAATTCTTTTCAACATTAGCTTAGTACAGTTTGGTGTCAGAAGAGGATTAGTTTGTGTTCATCAAGTATTGTGGAATAAGTTGAGTGATTTTAAGACCATGCCCCTTGGACCAGAAATTTCTTTCGATGTGAAAACTAAGATCATTGAGTTATACAAAGATCGTCAACGTCAAGTCGACATTGCCAAAAAGTTGAAGCTGAAGCGTAAAGCAGTTTGGGCAATATTGAACAAATATAAACAAAAAGGTATCTTGGAAGCCTCTAAGAGGAGTAAGTGGTCCGCCTAGAAAACTAAATGCTAGATCACTTAGATTAATAAAAGTAAATTCGTCCAAAGATCCGTTTAAAACCCCAAGACAAATAAAAGCCGAAATCAAGACAAAAGGAATTGTCGGTGTTTCTACGAAAACTATATGTAGAAGATTAAATGATTTGAAGTTATCTGCACGTCGCCCCAGTAAGAAGCTGCTATTCTCGAGGAAAAACGGTAAGGGCGGATTACAAGTTGCACGGTTGCATCTTGATTGGAGCATCTGTGACTGGAAGAGGGTATGTTTCAGTGACGAATCCTCCAAATTCAATATGTTTGGATCAGATGGTGTTCATTACGTTAGACGTCGTAGTGGACAAAGATTGAACCCCAAGTACACTTTGCCAACTGCCAAACATGGAGGCGGGTCAGTTATGGTTTGGGGGTGCTTTTCGGGGTTTCGGATGGGACCTTTACATAGAATAGATGGCATTATGGATAAGTTTGTATACACAGACATACTAAAGCATGTGATGTTACCCTGTATGGAAGACAATATGCCCTTAAGATCAATCTTCCAGCAAGATAAAGACCCGAAGCACACTTCAAATCTCGCAAAGAAATTTTTTCTGGATGAAAAAATACCAGTTCTAAAATGGCCTCCACAGTCCCCCCCATTGAAAATCTATGGCAATACTTAGATAAGCAAATACCAGATAAAGTTATTCAAACAAACTTTTTGCCGCTTTAGAGCAAAAGTCGAGACAGATTGATGAATCTTATATCAAGAAACTTCTACAATCTATGCCGAGACGATGCCAGGCGGTGATTGATAATAATGGTTATGCTACAAAATATTAACACAAACATGGTTGGTGTTCTATAATTCAATGAACTTTGCTTCTTTTTTCTATAATTGTTTTGCTTTGTCTATATATTTTTGTCGTTCATAGTTCCAGTTTTTTTCAATTAATTTGTTATTGAATTGAGTCTAATGAATTTATTTATGTATAAGTGAGTATTATGCTATAACGAATTATGTATACAGGTTGGTGTATTAATAAAACAAGTTAAAAAATAAATACAGCACAATATTAATTTGTCTATATACTTTTTTCCATTACTGTATATATTACGGAATCTTTCTTATATTTTTTTTGTGATTCGATAAATTTTAAGTCTCGTGATACATGGTTTCCATGCAATTCATTCGATTGCATGCTAACACAGAGTGGCGAGGACGGACAATCTAAATTTGCAGTATGCGATTTTTACTACTTGATACCCTGGCAACATTCCAGTTCACACTTTAACAGAGTGATCATAGGACACTACGAAAATAGCAGAAAAGACGATATTTCATGTCAAATAACAGAGCATTTAATAACAAAAGTATAAACTTCATTCCTTTGGTGATTCAATTTTTGTATTTATGTGTTTCTAGTGGTGCTTATTTCGTTACTTCTTAATGAGTAAGATTAGCAAAATAATTGCTATCTTTCATTGACTTAGCAAATTATATTTTTTCTAAAGCCATAAAATGTAACCAATTTTAATAAAATGGTATAACCTATCTATGTAGAAGCAATCAACAAAGTTATTGTGCTTGTTTATAAAAAAATGGCGTCAAGTAGATAGATTGCCTTTTTAACCTGAATATGAACGGTTTTTTGCGAAAATTTTCGCCATCACAATATTCCCCCGCCAGTGTGCGTGAGAAGTACAAGCTGACAGAAATGGAACCTTATGACGTACTCATAGGGGCTTCAATACATGAACATCCATATGCATTTATTATTTCGTAAAATTGTTGTATAAATAATTTTATACGTATGTGTTGCAGACATCAATTCTACCTGCACGCCAAATGTGACCTACTCGAAAAACGTCTGCTCGCCAATGACTGGGATTCCGTCCCTCGGTTGATAGCTCTTATCGCTCAAGCCGAATCCGGTGATTACGAACCATCCAGGCCTCCCCATACTATCTACATGCAGGCCTCTTCCATCGCTGCCGAGGATGAAAGTCAAAAACCCTCCGATCTGCTCCAGAGGATCATAGCCGAGCACAAAAAGTACAAGGGTATGAAAAAATGCACTGCGGAATATTGGCTACTCAAGGACGTGGCCGAGTTTGAGGCTTATGGTGAAGAAGTTTTTACCGCAAAGACAGGTAAGACATTATGACAAAAAATCGACCACTGCGGAAAGCTCATAGCTACTATTAACGTATGTCTTAAAAGTTTTGGCACAAAATTCCTTGGCTTTAATTTTAACAAACACAAAATAATATCAAGTTTCCTTTAGAAGCAAAAGTTTCTTCACTTACTTTACTGTCAATTGACATTGACATCGTAGAGGAATGCCCTGATAATGCTGAACACAAACATAAAGCGAAATTTGAGATAAAATCCTTGTCTGGTGCGCATTTTCTAACAGGAGTGTATCCTAACCTTTTGTGGGAAGAATGAGGGGTGAAGCTTTGAATAGTCGGAGCTATATTGATAACTGCCTTTCCAAATTGCTTCATTTTGTCCACGAACATCGTGCTAATGACCATATCATGTTTTGGCCAGTCCAGCATCATGACATTTACTCAAAGGATACCCAAAACTGTCTTCGACAGCACAACATACTTTTTGTTCCCAAAAACGATAATCCTCCAAACTGGCCGCAGGCTTGCCCAATAGAAAATTTTTGGGCTTTACAGTCTAGGAAGGTTTATCATGGAGGCTGGGAAGCCCAAGTTGAAGAACAATTGATTCGAAAAACTTAGAGAAATTGATCTGAATTCGGTCCAGAACCTCCACGACCCACATAATTCGATAGTATAGTTTGGTTAAGTATTGAGTTGTAATTTATCATAACTAGTTAGTGTTTGAATACATTTCTTCATAAAATGATCCGATATATATTTTGTGCCAAAACTTTTAGGACATACGTAATTTCAAAAATATCAGGAAGATAAATTACTTCTATAGAAATTTAAAAAAAAATGTGTAATTAATATAATGCGCCATTTTTTATATTGTTAAACCATTTTGTTTACAGCAAATGAAAACATATTTTCAAAATTACAAATTCTACAAAATAAACCTATGGAATTATTTCAAATAAAAACAAATATCTTGAGTCTATGTTAGAAGAACTATATTGGTTGAATATAATAAACGTTAAATGTTATTTAGTTCTCATTTTCATATTCAAATTAAAAAATCATTTATTACCACTACATTTAGAAAACTTTAAAAAATTAAATAGTCATGATTATAATTACAAAACGAATTTCATCTACAAAACTGTAATAGTAACATAATTAGCAAATCTATATTTCAAAAGGGATTATTTGAATTTAATAAATTGAATAATTATATTAGCAGTGTTCGAATTCAAAAATGTTTAAGGTGAAATTGAAAAATTACTTTATCAATACTCAAAATGCATAGTGATGTAATTTTAATAGACAAGAACGTGAAATTGATTAAAAAATGTGTAAATGAATAATTATACAAAATTGACATTGTAGAAATCACAAATTCATTTCATTGAAGTTCGGAGCTAATGTAGCTATTTTTAGCCTACCTAGAAATGTGAAAAATAGTAACAAATCGGACAATAGTATATTATTTCAACATATTTTTGATGAACAAGTCAATAAAAAATAGGTGTATTGTGTGTTATTTTTGAAGGTAGTACCATATTTAGCGGCATTGTTTGAAGTTAGCACGTATTGTAATCCTAAAATATTGCAATATACCAGGTAATCGTGAACTTTTATTCATATGTTCAAAGGTTGCTTCATTATCTTGAACAAATAACGCACATTCGTACATATAACAATATATTTTTTCATTACTATAGTTGAATAGATACGATAAAATTTTATTTTTCTTTTGACTTTTTATTATATCCACTCAGTTCAATAATAAAATCGTAAGATATACTGGAACATCATGTTGCAATTTATGAAATGAATTCTCATTTATGGCTTTTGTAAAGCGTTTTTCTCAATTTTAGTTAGAATTTAGGCGATACATCACCTGTCAAATTAAAGCAACTTTCAACTAAATCAGATAGTTATTTTGATTTTTACAAAAAAAAAACGAAATATCAACAAAATAACCATCTTGTCTCTAAGTACCACCCGAGGAATCTCCCATTAAGTTTGAAGAGGTACTTTACCAACATTTTATATGCTCCATCCATAACCATCTTTTCAAGAATTCGTTGATATGCTTCAGCTTATTTACATTACTTTTATTCCAGGAGGTGGTGCTGTATTAGGAGTTGGACCACACGGTATTACCATCTACAAAAAAGACCAACTGAAACAGTTGATTTCCTTCACGAATATCCTCAGCGCTTCTTCGCATAGACGCACCTTCAAACTCGAATACCTCAGCGAGGACAGTAAGGAAACTGCCCTTGAAACCAAGTTGGATTCTAGTCATGTAGCCAGCAGTTTGTACAGGTAGGTTTACATAACAACACAATAAATATTTTCCCACACACACCTAACTCCTCAGAAAGATATTATGGCCGAATACGCGACAGTAAACGCCTCATAACCCCAAGATAAAGCAGCATTAACCGTGAAACCCGGTGAAATGAATTTTTTGTGAGTAATTCTATTCGAATCGTAGGAACAAATCAACATTGTATTCTCTTTGGACTCGGTTACGAGATGAACAATTATCATCATACATTTGCATCAACATCTGATACGTTTCGGTAAATGTTTTACCAAGTTTAACACACAACTTAATATTGGGTCTTTGTTCGATCCTCATTTTTCGATCGATGCTAAAAAGGTACTGTCACTTTGAGCGCAATAACTCCGCGTGAAGTGGTTCGATTGTCAATTAGAAATAATTCTGTTTGACCTATTGAGGTTAGAAAATCACCTTTTTCTGATGTTCTAGGTCCTGTGTAATAAATTTCCTGTTAAGGTGGTTCTCATATTAGGATAAGTCGTAAAACTTAAGATATGCATTTTGCTGTTTAATCACCCCTTTGATTTTACATATGACACATTTTTAACCTCATTATCTCAAAAAAGTTGAATTCTGGCATGGACGCTAACTCATAAAAAATGTTTAAAATCATAAGGAAAATCAAAAAATACCAAAATAAAAACGATTTTCTATTAAAAAATGTTTTGTCTGCTTTCACTTTTGGGCAACCATGATTATCAAAAAATATTTTTTAACTATGATTTAACTTTTTTCAATTTCTTGTAATAAGGAATCTATGGTACTCCGTCAGATCTTTGACCCATCCTGTCAGAGTTTAGAAGTCATCAAACTTTTAAATTCACTTTTCTCGATACTTACTTTTTGTGACATTCATCTTTTTTCCCCTGTACCGTTCATTTGGGTTCGATTGTCATGAAATTTTGACAGGGCACCAATGAAAGATTTCCCTATCCTACGCTAGTCTCCGATAATAGATGGCGGTGCTTGTATCGGATATCTTTCAGAAGTCCTGTTTACTTTGCGTCAGACCTTGTATATATGAAATTTTCATATTTTATTAAATATTTGGATAGATGCTTCCAAGAGAACTTTGACACAGACTATAACATATCAATGGTTGGTTATTGCGATTCAATGTATAACATTGCTCAACTTTCACAGCCTGCCTTTCTATTTTATTTTTGTAGGACAAAAAACCTTTTTGAGAAAGATCCTTACAAAATAAGTTCCTGCTCTAAGAATTTCTCTTGATTTCCAATATGAGTTTTTTAATCCTGATTCTGTAGTTTTCTCGAACACTGAAAAACTATCTTAAACTACTTATTTACACCCTTTTTTTATGAGTATATTTTTTGTTATAGGGCTCTAACCGAAAAGCACGCCTTCTACAGTTGCGAGACCGTGCGAACAGCTGTAACGTCTCAGTTTATCAGAGATTTAAAAGGGACCATAGTGTCGATCTTCAACGAAGATTCTACGCTAGGAAAGAAATACGTGTTTGACATCAGAAGGACATGCAGGGAAGTGTACGATAACGCCCGGAGGGCTTTGTATCTTGAAAACGGGCTGCAGATTCCGAAAGTGGAGAGCGCAGAAGACTCGCAGGACGGGGGAAATTTCAAGGTGTGTATCATTTTTCAAGTTAGGCTATTCAGGGTGTCCGTCTGTTGAGAATAATTACAACAAAGAAATTACAATGTTTTATCGTAGTGTACTGGATGTAACTTCGAGTATTCGGGGTCCCAAAATATACCAGGAGAGTCACAAATGGGGGTGCGAACTTTTCGTTGGGCCACCCTGTATAAGAGACATCAGTCTGAGTATTTTGAGTACTTACACAAATCAAAATGTATCAGCGAACGCAATTTCAATTTTTGATAGAAATGCCATGAAGTGATGATAGTCTAGGAAGACAAAATAATTTTTAAACCAGTCTAAAACACTTCCTGATATACCATATGATGCCTTCAGCTTGCCTAACAAAATATCCGTATCGATTATTTCAAATACTGTATGATAACTTCTTCTGAGTCTATGGCTCTTTTTCGATTCTCAGTTACAAACTGGAGGTGCGTTTCTTTGAATTTTTTTGTGAAAGCCTGCTAAAATTTTGTTTTCTTCTATAAACTGCATCAATTGGGCATTGGTTCTATGGACTTCAACGATTTTTCAATATCTGGTAACACATGTACTGGTCTCATATCGCTGTATTTTCTAGAATTTCCATTATGGGAACTGGCGTTTTGTAGAACTCCTGAGTGAACAATTGATAAAACAATACAAGGTATCCCAAAATTTCGAAACAGTTTTGCAGGGCGCGTTTTGTAGTGATTTCATTACTGTTGTTGTTGTTGGACTTCAAACTGTTTTTTTATTAGATAATTGAATGATACACTATGGAATTTTGTAAGTGTATTCAATATATGGAACCAGATTTTAATATAGTCCGGTGCATCATTGACAGTATGCACAATATCGACGTTTTCCACAAAATATTCATTCAGTCTGTTCCGGTACATCACCCCCGGAAAACCGATTCATAAAGTACACTTTTCCACCCGGTCGTGAATAATTAACTACACGGTGCCGTCGTATGACTATTCATAAATTTAATTGCTTTTTCTGTTCTTCCAGGACTCCGATGAAAAACTGCACAGACTGATGGACGCGCTCACTTGCAAGATCTGCATGGACAACCAAATCGACGTTGTTTTCCTACCTTGTGCCCATGTAGTCGCATGTACGTCATGTGCCGCTAGAGTCGACAAATGTCCATTGTGCCGCTCCGAATTCACGCAGGCACAGAAACTGTACTTACCCAGCGAATTCCGACAAGAGTTGTGCTCTTAGACTAGGTTGTATGACTGTCTGTTTGTATGTTTGTTGATAGGGTGGATATATTTTCTCGGTTCAGTATACATTTTTACATGGTATTAGATTCATTCTAAAGTTTATCATTATATGGATCAATTTACTTTTGAAGAAGTATTGGTTAACACCTGACTTCAACTGCCACTGATATGAATTCATTTTCATATTTCCTCATAAATATAATATTGACTTGCTGACTCATTATTTGTTGCAGAGGCTATATAAGATGCCCTAAAAAAATTAATGATTCAATCGAAGTAAATATTCTTAATATATGCCACCCTATAAACCATATGATATTCATATGGATTATAATATTTGACCTATGACTATTATTTTTTGTGAAGAAGTAGTAGTTATGTGAAAGATAATTTTCATAAAATTCCATTGGTTTCTGTTTTCAGATTATTTTTATTTAAATCGGACGAACCTCATATTGAGGTTTAGTCAGAGACTTTTCTGTTTTGATTTCGTATGATACTTTAAGAGGATTGTACTAAATTGTAGTCATTATATCAATGCAAGATATCCATATAAGTAAAATGTTTAGTACTATACACGTAAAACACATTGTACAATTAGTATTAATATTGTGATAATAATTATTTTGTGATAATTTGCATAATGCATTTATTATTTAGAAAAACATTGAAAATTAGATTTCTTATATTATCAGTATATGTATACCTTGTAGAAATTTAGAAATTACATTCTGGTTCTAAATAATAAATGAAAATGTACCTAGTTGTGAGCATTATAGGATCATGATTATTTGTATATTGAAGAATTTTGTATATTAGTTGCTAAATACATTCCACTTAATATTGTGGTAGATCTCAAAATATTTTCAAGAATTCTGTTTTAGGAAAGAATTAATATATTGTTATTTTGTTAAAAAGTGGACAATGTAAAAGTCGGTAGTTCGATTTTAAAATTCTATGTATTATGCATTTAGCAGCTTGTATATAAAATCAGTGACCACTTTATTTTGTAAATGTAAAAACAGTTCAATTTTTACTTATAAAAATCTAGTAAGTATGTGCTATACTGCTAATAAAATTTTTATTTTGACAGGCGGTTTTTATTTTCTCTCTAATCTCCCTATAAAAAAATGTTTACATCATAGTCATCTGGAGAAGAACGGTGAATAGCCGTTAACAAGCAGCTTAAATCCTGTATATCGAACCCAGCTAAAAAAAATTAATTCATTATGGTTTGTTTAGAAATTCAAAACCTATTATGACAATCATAATATTCTCAACCTCCACAATAGGCTACTTGACTCATATCTAATTTTCAAGAATAAGTGAATTTTTTTTTTGGCTTTAGGACCAGGTCATGCAGCCAGAAACTAGGTTGTATATTTATATTTCAAATTATGGACAAACACACGAAGTCACAACATCCATGGCGAAGGCGAGATTCGAACTCGCGGCCCGGCCGGCCGGCTGATCAGTAGCACGAATAAGTGAGTTTAACCATGTTAGGTAGATTTATGTACGGGTAGGTACGTACAGGTATATTTGAAGTATCGAGTTCGCGCTCGCATTGTGATTTAAAATGGCAATGTTGGAGAATCCGAATCTAAGAAATCAAGTTTTTACGGAGAGCTTGAACTCGTATTGACTTCGAAACAAGGCCATAATCGTTATATGAGTAATGAACAGTAATTGAAGTATATCGAAGACGTCAAAGCTGTAAAAAAGTCGCGAAGCGTTCGACTTTACAATATCGCCGTTTGAAGCGTTTCGAGGAGTTAATTGCACCTTTATCCAATGGCGAAAAGACCTGTTCGATGTTCGTCATGAAATACACGTGAGCATTGGACACGGCGGGAGAAATAGGATGATTGTAGAAGCTGAGAACAAGTACGCAAACATGACTCAGGAGGTTGTTCTTATTTATCTTCGTTTTTGTAAGTCATGTTAAATGAAACAAAATTCAATCAAAAAAGGTCTTGTCGTGAAACCCATTTTATCTAATGAGCTGAATAGCCGTTGCCAGGTAGACTTGATAGACATGCGAATAAACCCAGACAGCAATTTTAAATTCATATTAGTTTACCAGGATCACCTGACGAAGTTCGTATAGCTACGCCCTTTATAAACTAAGACTGCTGAGGAAGTATCAAAGATACTGGATAGTTTTTGCATATTCGGATCACCATCTAAATGTATTGCATTCTGATAATGGTCGGGAGTTCGTTAACCGAATTGTGGGAAATTTGACAGAAATGTGGCCAAGTCTAAAAATTCTGCATGGAAAACCGCACCATAGCCAGTCAAGTAGAACGTGTCAATCAAAATGTCGAAAAATGCTCATGGTGAGAATGACCAATGAAAATTGTCAAAAATGGTCTGAAGGACTAAGATTCGTTCAACTACTGAAAAATATCATCATGGAATTAAAAGATCGCCGTACCAAGAAATGTTTGGTTGTGATGTTAAAGTTGGCTTAAGGTCATCAGTTCTGCCTCTCAAAGAAATCCAAAAGATCGAGAATGAGGAGGAGCTGGAGAAAATTCTTGTACAGTTGAGCGAGACAGTTGAAAAATAATAGTAGCGAGGTAAATAAGTCAGAAATCGAATCCTACGGAAACGAAATTACAGAAAAAGCAGTTTGCCAACTTTGTGACCAGAAGGGAGGTGAAAAGTTTCGTAGAAAGGCTGGGTATTGTAAACTGTCTAGCGGATTCGGGAAAACAGAACGTCCAATGACGAAGTATTTCGGAAGTTATTCACTCAGTTACGCGTGAAGGTTTATTCGTCCGTGACTAATATGGACCAGATTATTTTCATGTTGGTGCAACAATCACTCATAAAAACGCACTCTTGAAGGGAAATTATCAGCTTTTATAAAAGGGTACAATCCAACATCATGCAGCATTTACCACACTTCAGTCTTCCAGACTTGCGCTGGTCTAACCACTTCCATAGTGCTTCTTGAATAGCGGCTGGGAAAGCGATCTGTATATACTCGCGAAGCCGCGATAGCATTTTGGAGACACCATAAATTAAAATCATTTCATGTTCGATAATGCTGTACGAATGTGCCATTTTGTTTTTCCTTAATTTTTTGGAACAGATTGGTAAAAAATATTTTGTTTACTTACGCTGCTGGCGCCTGGGTTGAGTACTGGCGTGCGTAGTGCCTTCTCACTGTAGATCTGATCAAGATCCAGGAACGGACGGAATTTGATTGATTTTCTTCGATAGCATGAAATATTCATTAGTTATTTATTTAATAATATTTTTATCTTACTTAAATGTTTTTTTTCTTAAACAAATATTTAATAAATATTTGTAATATAATATTTTATTAAATATTTATTCAATACCTTTTAAATATTTTAAATAAAATATTTCTTTTACAATATTCATTAAATATTTACTTTTCAATGGCAGCTGAGTATAAAGGTATTCACAAGACCATAAATAACTAGCCTTGAAGTGTAACAGTTATTTGGTGTTGGTGGATTTATCTGAGAATGGATACGAAAATTATGTTCATAACCCAATGAAACGTGATATAATCGCAACTTGATCAAGATACATCAAAAATGCTTTTTTTAAATATCTCAATAATTATTAATATTTTTGTCTTAGTACGTTCAAAAATGTTAACAGTCGAAAATACTATACATTTGTCCCTTGAATTATAAAATCACAAAATAGTTATGGCTAAGTTAGCTCCCTTACTAAAAAAAGTCACATTTCAACAAAATCAATAAGTGGTCTATTTTCAAACACATTTTCTTTAAAAGTTAGTCAAAGGATCTAGTTGTGCCCATGGACATGTTTCATCAAGATATCTACAATAACATACCAAATTTTCTTAAAAATTAACCAAACTTCGAACCTTCATTGGCAGAAAATGGGGTCCTTTTAGGTGCATTATAGAGCTGCTTTTCAGTGGCCCAGTTGAGCTACTCGAAGTAACTCACCATGCTCAGCACCAATATTGTTCCACTGCATTTTAAATTCCCATAAATAACTGGAAAGCAGCTTATGTATTCAATAATACTTCATAATTAGTAAGTTTTTTTTTCAGAGGAGTGGATGCAGAAGAGGCTTAGAATGTTTTTTAATAATATTTTTCTAGCAAATTAAACCATTATACCTAGAATGAATTTTCTTTATAAACCCATTTTTATATAAGCATTCCTACAGGTTTTGCTAAAATAACCAATGAAGAATTTTCTATATACAATGAAAATATGTATCAGATTAATGCGTCCGCCAATATTTACGAAAAATATTAGATATTTCATCAAAATATAAAATTGATATTTAAAAATCTTTCCTCATATATACTAAGTGACATATAAATCCGAACACCCAGTTTAAATGGTTTTATTTTAATAAAAGTTGGTGAATGTATTTATCTTACTGTAAATAACAAGTGAAAAAATTTTCAGCCTTATCAGTTGGACATTCCGGTTTTTATACTGCTTTTTTTTAATTCACTAACGCTCTAAAAATGAATATTTCAGCCGCAGTAAAGAATCAACGTTGGCGGATTTTGGTTCTTGACATCCTTTACGATCGGTTACGATGCCTAGAGTACGGAGACCTGTACGATTTCGTCAACTTAGTGAGTTTGATAGGGGCCGTATAGTGGGACTTCGAGAAGCACTTCGAGAGGAGTTGGTGGTTGCCTGGAATGAGATACCACAGGAGGACATTGACCACCTGATCAGAAGCATGCCTAGGCGCGTTGGAGAATGCGTAGCACATCAGGGTGCATCCACACATTATTAAAGGTCAAAGGGCTTTAAAGCAGTGCAATCATTTTGAAATTTTTATCATTTACTTATTATGCTTCATTAAGTACTTATACAAAATTTTATTAAAATAAAACCATTTAAACTGGGTGTTCGGATTTATATATGTCACTTAGTATATATTGAATTTCAAAAACCCCAACCCCTACTGAGCGGTACCGATAGCCGGGTGGCGGTACAAGTCCGCCAACGGGCCACTTTAGGTCTATTTAAGATCATTAACACGGAAAAAGAAGGTGGTAGACAAGGACCAGTCGACCGAGACGGTAACACTCTATAGCTTATGTCCGCATGTCCGCATGTTTCCACACCTAAGCTATGCAGTCGGTTATTTTCCAAAACAAAGAAATTAATGATGATGGATCCCTCAAGCACTAAGAATTCCGGATGTAAGCTCACTCCAGTCTCAGAATGTCCGGATGGAGGGTGGACTCGAGGGAACAACATCGAAGATGGAATTTGTGTCACGAACATCTGCGGGATTAACAGCAACATGCTTTTCTTGGCGGAGACAAAAATCTCAGAGTCCGCACCGATTAACCATCTGAGCTTACCAAATTACGAGGTGCACTCCAATCTGAGAAAGAACGGGGGAGTTGTGGCTTTTGTCAGACCGGACATTTTGTGGTCGCCTCAACTCCAAAACATCCCCCAAATTTAATTGCTGCCTTTATCGCTCCCCTTGGACCATAACTGGGATGACCTTCTTGAATACCTCACCGTTAAGATCGACTTACTGAAGATCAATCACTCCGCTTCAGAGGTAGTTCTCTTCGGTGATTTCAGTGACCATAAATTGCTTCGGTTGGGCTCAAACAAGGCCATAGCAGCAGGTCGTGCAGTTAAAGCGTTCGCTCTTACTCAAGGCCTGACTCAGCTAGTGACGGGCCCTATTTTTTTGCCCCGCGTCTCATCACATGCCAGTATCTTGCTGGATCTCTTTCTGACCACGCATCCTGTCCCTTACAGCTCTGCTGTCCTGTCTCCATGGGTAACTCAGACCACTGTGTTGTGTAGGTTAGGTTTCGGTTAGAACCCGCTGTTTCAGCAGAAACTCGCGCAGGTCGCAAAATTTGGCATTACGTACATGCCGACTGGGAGGGGTTCAGAGACTTCTTCTCTACTTTTCCTTGGAGACATGTCTGTTTCACTGACGCGGATGCGTCGGCTGTCTGTTCTTCGACAACCGAAATTATCCACGTCGAAATGGAGGAATACATGCCTCATACTGCTGATATAATAGAAGCACTTGATTATGTCAGTATTTGCACCGTTTACTTGATTTCTTTA